CTTGGGAAGAACACTTAGAATGACCCAAATCTCTACAAAACGATCACAAGAGTACTTTTACACCTGAAGGGACCATACCAAAATCTCTAGCACCTGCTACAGAGGCGAGGAGAGCGGATGTACTCCTGAACGGAGCATCTGGCACCAGCCACAATGACTGAAGAGGGAAAGAAACTATCACTAGACCTTCACAATGCGAATAGGATCACGAGGACCACGAAGGGGAGATCGTGCGAACTACCTTGAAAATAGAATAGCCTTGGGCCTCGAGGATAGACTGCCACGAGGATATCAAGTACACGTTCCCTGTCAACATTGTATGGGAGAAGAATTGTGCCATTCAACTCGACATCTTTAGAGATCTGAAAAAGGGTCTCCCCAATGCAGGACAACGAAGCGAAGCCGACAGCCTCTTCCCGAGAGGGCACCAACAACATTAGTACCAGTACAGTTTATGTTAAATGAGAAACTTATTCAACATGGTGCTTATGGAGGAATAAATCAGGACGAGTAGGGTCAACATGACTAAGATCAAAATATTTTGTCCACGTAGCAGGACCAAAGCCTGTAAATGAGGACATTGGGGAAGGAATCTTGCTAGTGCAGAGGTGACGACGCCAAGCACCCCTGGTAAGAGGCCCCAAAAGGCACAGTTGTGACGAGACAACCTCGCCAGGTGACTACGTCACAACTTAGGGGGATTGGGGCTCATCCCCAGTGGGGGAGGGGAAGAGAATCAGACTCAATCTGAAATAGCATTATCAGGGAGCCCAAGTAAAGCAGGGACTAGAGCCCAGCCTACCGGCACAGACTCGTGGGGTAGACAACCCCTCCCCCCCCCCCTCACTAACAATCTAAACCTTACTGTGAAAGGTCAATGTAACTAGCTTTCAGGTCTGTTGCACACCTATTCGCCCATCCTCAATTACAAAGTTCCCCTCTGCTACCCTTGTCACTCCCTTAAAAATGCAACATTGCCCCATCGATTAATTTCCAACTCGTCTCTATAGACGATCTGAAACTTTCAGCCAGTCTCGCCCGAAAACAAAGTCCACAAACGCGAGACTTCATCGCAGTCTTTCCTTCAACACTGGTACAGCGCAACCACTTTCCATACATCACATCTGTATGATGCGAGTCATTATTCCCATCATTACTTGCCCTTTTACGACGAGATTTCACCCTCAGATGCCACCTTCCCACTCCCGACCAAACTCTCCAAAACTACCCGCTCTCTCTCTTCCCCCCCCCCCCCCCCCCCAAAGTAAATTAAAACTTCTCGACTGCCACGAACCCCAAGGAACAAGACGGGACGACAGTTTTAGAACCCGCCCTGCAACCCACACCCAGAGAACAACACTACCCTCATCACGTCAGGGTAGCCTACCTTCACCTACTGAAGATTGTAGACTACAAAAGATCACTATTTGTACCTACCAAATATGCAATGTATATTATCAATTCTCATTTTATTCAATATTAACTGCAGTTTGACATGTCTACCTAACAAAGGGCAGTGCTAAAAAATCTTACTCGCCTCATTTTCTTCAATTAAGAAGAAGGCCACGCAGGCGCTGGGGGAACATGGCTCCAACGGAAATGTCCATGGTCCGTGTTCAGCCATCACGCTCAGAGGGAACGTCCAGGGTCACCCTGAAAAAATAAATATAACAGGGGAAAATTTTGCATTTATAATCCGATTTGCCGGGGACACTTGTGGCCCTCTGCGCCCTGACACCTCCCCACCAAGTCCCGACACCTCCCCACCAAGTCCCGACACCTCCCCACCAAGTCCCGACACCTCCCCACCAAGTCCCGACACCTCCCCAACAAGTCCCGACACCTCCCCAACAAGTCCCGACACCTCCCCACCAAGTCCCGACACCTCCCCACCAAGTCCCGACACCTCCCCACCAAGTCCCGACACCTCCCCACCAAGTCCCGACACCTCCCCACCAAGTCCCGACACCTCCCCACCAAGTCCCGACACCTCCCCAACAAGTCCCGACACCTCCCCAACAAGTCCCGACACCTCCCCAACAAGTCCCGACACCTCCCCAACAAGTCCCGACACCTCCCCAACAAGTCCCGACACCTCCCCAACAAGTCCCGACACCTCCCCAACAAGTCCCGACACCTCCCCAACAAGTCCCGACACCTCCCCAACAAGTCCCGACACCTCCCCAACAAGTCCCGACACCTCCCCAACAAGTCCCGACACCCTTCTTGCCGCCACCAAAAGTCCGGAGAGAGGACAGGAGGGAGGAGAGCAGGAGCCATCGCCACATGTCAGGCAGCTCACCACATCCAGGCACCATCCTCCGTTGGGGGGGGGGGGGGGGGGGGAAAGAATCCTGAAAAAGATAAAATTACAAACATTGGTACCTGCCAATCATGCTAGTTCACTGGATAATTTTTTACATTTCTGAATATATGCCATTTACTAGTCACCCCCCCCCCCCAAACCCAAATTTATAGTTTAATTGTATGTGACAAAGTGCAGTGTTCAATAAAACGAACATTCTCGCTTGCCTGAGAACACGTCCATACAAGTGGCTCCAGCAGGAACATCACAGGAACGTCCATGGCTTGTGTTCAGTCGTCACGCCGAGAGGGGGGAACGTCCATGGTCACACTGGGGGGGGGGGGGGGGCAGGGGGGGGAATAAAAAATTAGAACGGAGTAGTGACACTTTTCCAATTATTTTCCGATTTCCCAAGGACACTTGTGGAAAATGGGTGGGAAGTAAAGGGCAACTTGTAAATGCTATTTACCATTTGAAGTAAGTTACACGAGGTAATTGCAAACGTAAAAGAAGTTCCCTGTGCGTCCACAATCCCCATTTTAACCACCCCAACCACTACACTTCCCCACCCCCCCCCAAAAAAAAAAAAAAACACCCAACCAGTCCCAACACCAAAATCCACCAAACCAGTCCCAACATCCCCAAAACCACCCAACAAATCCAGACACTAGCCCAATCCCAACTCTCTCCTTCCCCCTCCCCGAGTCTCGACACTTTACCATACCAACCACCATGTATCCAAAGTGAGGACGGGAGGGAGAGCAGGAGCCACAAGAGGTCAGATCGCTCACCGTGTCAAGGCACCATCCTCCGAGTGGTGAATCCTAGAAAAAGTAACAATTACAAATATTAATACCTCCCAATCAGGCTAGTTTACCGAAGATTTTTATATTTCTGAATATATACCATTTACTAGTCCCCCCAACCTCCCATTTTATAGTTTCATTGTATGCGACAAGATGTAGTGTTCAATAGAATAAGAACTTTCTCACTTGCCTCGGAACACGTCAATGCAGGTGGCGGGGAGTAAAGTGGCTCCAGCTCCTACGGGAACATCCATGGTCCGTGGTCAGCCAACACGCTGGAAAAATAGAACATTAAAAACAATTTTGCATTTTTCTGATTTGCCAAACTCGTGTGGAAAATGGATCAGAAACAAACTTTTACCAAAGCTTAATTTACTATGAGGTTACACGAGTTAATTGTTAATTTAATAAAGTTACCTGTGCGTCCACAATGCCCATTTAAACCACCCAACCAGTCCCAGAACCAGTCCCCCCTTTCTCTCACCCCCAAAAAGAGTCCCAACACCCCCCAAAACCAGTCCCAACACCCCCCAAAACCAGTCCCAACACCCCCCAAAACCAGTCCCAACACCCCCCAAAACCAGTCCCAACACCCCCCAAAACCAGTCCCAACACCCCCCAAAACCAGTCCCAACACCCCCCAAAACCAGTCCCAACACCCCCCAAAACCAGTCCCAACACCCCCCAAAACCAGTCCCAACACCCCCAAAACCAGTCCCAACACCCCCCAAAACCAGTCCCAACACCCCCAAAACCAACATTTCTTGCCCCCTCCCCCCCTACACCAACCGCCAAGAATCCAAAGCGAGGAGTAAGGATGAGAGCAGATGTCAGGCCGCTCACCACGTCCAGGCACCATCCTCCGAGGGGGAGAGGGGAACCTAGAAAAGAAAATTACAAACATTGTGACCTCCGAATCGTGCTACCTTACTGCACAATTTTGTATAGTAACTAGCATATATTCAGAAATAGTCCCCCCCCCCCTTAATTTATTGTTTTATATGTGACAAAGTGCAGTGTTCAATAAAATAAGCTCTCACTTGCCTGAGAACACGTCCATGCAGATGGGAGGAAAGTGGCTCTAGCTCCTACGGGAAGATCACGGGAACGTCCATGGCCCATGTTCAGCCATCACGCTGGAAAAATAAATACAACAGAACAGGGAATACAATTTTGCATTTAGTTTGCCAAGAACACTGGAAAATGGGTAGGAACCAGAGAGGAACTTCTACAAAAACTATTTACTAGTTTAATTAGGTTACAGGAGGTATTGCAAAGAATATCAAGTTACCTGTGCATCCACAATGCCCATTTAAACCACCCGAACCAGTCCCAACATCCCAAACCCACCCAACGCTTCCCCAACCAGTCCCAACGCCTCCCAACCAGTCCCAATGCCACCCAACCAGTCCACACCCCAAAACCACCCAACCAGTCCCAACATCCCAAACCCACCCAACGCTTCCCCAACCAGTCCCAACATCCCAAACCCACCCAACGCTTCCCCAACCAGTCCCAACACACCCAACCAGTCCCACCACCCCAAAACCACCCAACCAGTCCCAAAACCTAAAACCAACAACTTTCTTGCCCCCCCCCCCCCAGCCCTACACCAACCGCCAAGACTCCAAAGTGAGGACTGTAGGGACGAGAGCAGGAACCACCACAAGTTAAACCGTTCTATCACCATGTCAAGGCACCATCCTCCGAGGGGAACCTAGAAAAGATAAAAAAATTACAAATATTAATACCTCCCACTCATGCTAGATTACCGAATAATCGTATACATGTCTGAATATATGCTATTTACTAGTCCCCCCCCCTCCAAATTTATTGTTTCATTGACAAGATGCAGTATTCAAAAAAATAAGCCGTCTCGCTTGCCTGAGAACACGTCCATGCAGGTGGCGGGAAGGAAAGTGGCTCCAGCTCCTACGGGAACATCACTGGAATGTCCATGGTCCGTGTTCAGCCGTCACGCTGGAAATATTTTAAAAATATTTAATATTCCAAATTGCCAAGGACGCTTGGTGGAAAATGGATGGGGAAGCAGAGGAACTTTTACAAAAGGCTTTCTATTTACAAATTTACTAAGGTTACACGAGGTAATTGCAAATTAAATAAGGTTCCTGTGCGTCCACAATGCCCATTTAAACCACCTAAACAGCCCCCCCCCCAAACCTCCCAAAACCAGTCCGCCCCCCAAACCTCCCAAAACCAGTCCCCCCCCCCCCAAAACCTCCCAAAACCAGTCCCCCCCCCCCCAAAACCAGTCCCCCCCCCCAACCAGTCCCCCCCCCAAACCAGTCCCCCCCCCCAAACCAGTCCCCCCAAAAAAAACAGTCCCCCCAAAAAACCAGTCCCCCCCAAAAAAAAAACCAGTCCCCCCCAAAAAAACCAGTCACCTCCCAAACCCAGCCCCCCCCCCCCCCCCCCCCAAACCTCCCAAAACCAGTCATACCCCCAAACCCAGCCCCCCCCCCCCCTACAAACCGCCAAGAATCTGGAGGGAGGAGAGCAGGAGCCACCGCCACACAAGATGGTGCCTTGACGTGGTAAGCGGGCCGACATCCTCCGAGGGGGAATCCTAGAAAAGATAAAATTACAAACATTGGTACCTCCCAATCATGCTCGTTTACTCGATATCTTTATATTTCTAAATATATTACCCTAGTTTTTTTTCCTCCCCCACAATGTATAGTTTAATATGTGACAAGGTTTTATTTCATTGAATATGCACCTTAACTCGCTTGCCTCGGAACACGTCCATGCAGGTGGCGGGGAGGAAAGTGGCTCCACGTCCTACGGGAAGATCACGGGAACGTCCATGGTCCGTGTTCAGCCCTCACGCCGAGAGGGAAAAGCCATGGCCCACGTCCAACCGTCACACTGGAAAAAATCGAACAGGAATAATTTTGCATTTAGTTTCCGATTTGCGAAGAACACTGGAAAATGGGTGGGAAGCAGAGAGTAACTTCTACAAAAACCACCCCAACCACCCAACGCTCCCACAAAACCTCCCCAACCAGTCCCAAAACCTCCCAACCAGTCCCAAAACCTCCCAACCAGTCCCAAAACCTCCCAACCAGTCCCAAAACCTCCCAACCAGTCCCAAAACCTCCCAACCAGTCCCAAAACCTCCCAACCAGTCCCAAAACCTCCCAACCAGTCCCAAAACCTCCCAACCAGTCCCAAAACCTCCCAACCAGTCCCAAAACCTCCCAACCAGTCCCAAAACCTCCCAACCAGTCCCAAAACCTCCCAACCAGTCCCAAAACCTCCCAACCAGTCCCAAAACCTCCCAACCAGTCCCAAAACCTCCCAACCAGTCCCAAAACCTCCCAACCAGTCCCAAAACCTCCCAACCAGTCCCAAAACCTCCCAAAAGCAACCCAACCAAGCCCAACACCTTTCTTGCCGCCGCCGCCGCGCCCCCCCCCCCATCACCCCTCCACCCAAACCAACCAACCGCCAAGAATCCAAAGCGAGGATTGTAAGGAGGAGAACAGGAGCCACCGCCACACGAGGTCAGGCTGCTCACCACGTCCAGGCACCATCCTCAGAGGGAATCCTAGAAAAGATAAATTTACAAACATTGGTACCCAATCATGCTATTTTACTGGAGAATTCTGTATATTTCCGAATATATGCCATTTACTAGTCCCCCCCCCCTCAATTTATAGTTTCATTAAATGTGACAGTGCAGTGTTCAATAAAATAAGAACTTTCTCACCTCGGAACACGTCCATGCAGGTGGCGGGGCCGAAGTGGCTCCAGGTCCTACGGGATCACGAGAACGTCCATGGTCCGTGTTCAGTCGCCACGCTGGAAATGCATTAAAAAACAATATTGCATTTTCCGATTTGCCAAGGACACGAAAATGGGTGGGGAAGCAGAGGAACTTTTACAAAAAGCTTTCCATTTACAAATTACCAAGGTTACACGAGGTAATTGCAAATTAAATAAGGTTCCTGTGCGTCCACAATGCCCATTTAAACCACCTAAACAGCCCCCCCCCAAACCACCCCCCCCCAAACCTCCCAAAACCAGTCCCCCCCAAAACCTCCCAAAACCAATCCCCCCACAAACCCACTCCCCCCTCCAAACCTCCCAAAACCAGTCCCCCCCCCTCCAAACCTCCCAAAACCAGTTCCCCCCCCCTCCAAACCTCCCAAAACCAGTCCCCCCCCTCCAAACCTCCCAAAACCAGTCCCCCCCTCCAAACCTCCCAAAACCAGTCCCCCCTCTCCAAACCTCCCAAAACCAGTCCCCCCCCTCCAAACCTCCCAAAACCAGTCCCCCCCCCTCCAAACCTCCCAAAACCAGTCCCCCCCCCTCCAAACCTCCCAAAACCAGTCCCCCTCCCCCCCCCCCCAAAAAAAAATCCCAAAACCAGTCATACCACCAAACCCAGCCTCCCCCCCTCGCCCCCCCCCCTACAAACCGCCAAGAATCTGGAGGGAGGAGAGCAGGAGCCACCGCCACACAAGATGGTGCCTTGACGTGGTAAGCGGCCCGACATCATCCGAGGGGGAATCCTAGAAAAGAAAATTACAAACATTGGTACCTCCCAATCATCCTAGTTTACTCGATATTTTTATATTTCTAAATATATTACCCTACTTAGTTTTTTTCCTCCCCCACAATGTATAGTTTAATATGTGACAAGGTTTTATTTCATTGAATATGGCACCTTAACTCACTTGCCTCAGAACACGTCCATGCAGGTGGCGGGGAGGAAGTGGCTCCAGGTCCTACGGGATCACGAGAACGTCCATGGTCCGTGTTCAGTCGCCACGCTGGAAATGCATTAAAAAACAATATTGCATTTTCCGATTTGCCAAAGACACTGGAAAATGGGTGGGGAAGCAGAGGAACTTTTACAAAAAGCTTTCTATTTACAAATTACCAAGGTTACACGAGGTAATTGCGAATTAAATAAGGTTCCTGTGCGTCCACAATGCCCATTTAAACCACCCCACCCAGTCCCAACACCCCCAAAACCACCCCACCCAGTCTCAAACCCACCCAACGCTTCCCCAACACCTCCCAAACCATTCCCAACACCCAACCAGTCCCAATACCTCCCAACCAGTACCGAAACCACCCATAACCAGTCCCAATGCTTCCCCCAAAACAACGCAACCATTCCCAACACCACTCCAAAAATACCCCAATCGGTCGCACCACCACCCAACCACGCCCAACACCTTCCTTGCCGCCCCCCACCAACCGCCAAGAATCCAAAGCGAGGACTGTAGGGAAGAGAGCAGGAGCCACCGCCACACAAGAGGTCAGGCCGCTCACCACGTCAAGGCACCATCCTCAGAGGGAGAATCCTAGAAAAAAGTGAAAATTACAAATATTAGAACCTCCCACTCATGCTACTTTCCTGATTTTTATGTTTGATTATGTGCTATTTACTAGTCACCCCCCCCCCAATGTATAGTTTCATTCTATGGGACATGGTGCAGTGTTCAATAAAATAACGTGCATGCCTGAGAAAACTTACATGCATGTTGGGAGAGAAGTGGCTTCAGCTCCTATGGGAACATCACAGGAAAGTCCTTGTTCAGCCGTCACGCTGGGGGGAGGAACGTTCATGTTCAGCCGTCACGCTCAGAGGGAACCAACCACCAAGAATCCCAAATCAGGACGGGAGAGAACAGGAGCCAGAGGTGGTGACGCCACTTACCACGTCAAGGCACCATGTATCCTTGAAGGAGGAATCCTACAAAAGTTTAAAAATATTGGTACCTCCCAATTATGCTAGTTTAGTGGATAATTTTTTTACATTTCAGAATATATTATGCCATTTACTATCCCCTCATAATTTATAGTTTATTTGTATGCAACTAGGTGAAGTGGTCAATAAAACTCACATGCCTGAGAACACGTCCATGCAGGTGGGGAGGAAAGGGCTCCTGGTTCTACCGAAATATCACGGGAACTTCCATGGTCAGCCGTCACCCTGGAAAATTGAAAATCATTAATAGTTTCCCCCGCTTCATTTTCCTGCGAATTGCCAAGGGCACTTCCTTTCTGCAAGTACACTACTTTCTACAGAAACTACCATTTTTATATTTTTTGTAGCCAACAATCTCTTCCCTTCCCTCAAATTATCGTCCCCCCCCTTCCGGGTCGATATTTTTACATTACTTTGTACACTAGCAAATTGTGTGAACAAGTCCTCGTCAATAGGCACAATCTCTACGAGATTAGCACCATGCCCTTACGAGACGAGTCGCCCCACACTCCCACGATTCGTCCATACCCTTAAGAGTCTCATTTTCCAAGACTCCCACATACTCTTACTAGTCGCCCCCCCCCCTCCCCACTTACGAGACGCTTCCAAACCCTTACGATACCCCCCCTCCCCCACATCTTTGCGAATTGCCCACACCCTTATGAATCTTCCACACCCTTACAATACGCCCCCCACACTTACGAATCGTCCACCCCCCCTTACGAAAGGCCCCACACTTACGAATCGTCCATACCCTTACGAGACGCCCCACACTTACGAATCGTCCACCCCTTTACGAGACGCCCCACACTTACGAATCGTCCACACCCTTACGAGACGCCCCACACTTACGAATCGTCCACACCCTTTACGAAACGCCCCACACTTACGAATCGTCCACACCCTTACGAGACGCCCCACACTTACGAATCGTCCACACCCTTTACGAGACGCCCCACACTTACGAGACGTCCACCCCTTTACGAGACGCCCCACACTTACGAATCGTCCACACCCTTACGAGACGCCCCCCCACTTACGAATCGTCCACACCCTTACGAATCGTCCACACCCTTACGAGACGCCCCACACTTACGAATCGTCCACACCCTTACGAGACGCCCCACACTTACGAATCGTCCACACCCTTTACGAGACGCCCCACACTTACGAATCGTCCACACCCTTTACGAGACGCCCCACACTTACGAATCGTCCACACCCTTTACGAGACGCCCCACACTTACGAATCGTCCACACCCTTTACGAGACGCCCCACACTTACGAATCGTCCACACCCTTACGAATCGTCCACACCCTTACGAATCGTCCACACCCTTACGAGACGCCCCACACTTACGAATCGTCCACACCCTTTACGAGACGCCCTACACTTACGAATCGTCCACACCCTTACGAGACGCCCCACACTTACGAGACGCCAAGAATCGCAAGGGAGAGAACATAGGGGAAAAAGCCCCCCCCCCCCCCTGTCGGCGAGCAAAAGGTCAGGGCACCATTCTCCGAGGAGGTAGCGGACACGTTTGCATAAATTAGAAAAAATGATACCTACCAATCATTGTAGTTACAAAAATTTTTAACTGCCAATTCAATTATGGCTCAAGTATTTTATTTTACTTCTGTTGGCACTTTAAATTTACTTACACTTCTTGCATTATTTACCGCCTCACTTGTAACTTACCTCACATGTTTGAGAACACTTGAAAATGGCTCTAGCTCCAAGGAAGATCACGGAAGCGTCCATGGTCAGTGTTGACCCGCCAAGAAAAAATTCTCACAGTTGCCACGGCCATTTTCTTACTGGAAAACGGGTGGAAATCAAAGATTAACTTTCACGCAAGCCTTCTATTATATCAATGGATTACTTTGTTATTACCTCTTATATCCCAAGGCCTTGTGCACGTACACAAGGCCAATTTAAATATATAATCGTTCTTCCAAACCATTAGAAGCATTTAGTTGCTCACTCGTACACTATTTAGTCGTACATATAGATGGCAACGACCGTTTTATGTAACAAGTCTCAGAAAGCATGATTTTCCCAAATACGCCTTTTGAGCACATTTATTTACCATAGAGCTTAATAAATAATACAAACTTGAAAACCTTTTATGCGTTACAGTGCACTAAAACTTCCTCGGTGACAGTTTCAATACGGTATACGAGCAGTATTGAAATTGTCACCGAGTGAATTTCAGTTCCTGCGACGGCGCTGGAACCAATTGGCGTTCGCCTTTCTATTGGGGACTTTCGGCGCCGTGGAGAGGGAGAACCTGCTGCCTAGGTAATAGCTTCTCCATATGCAGTCTCCGTGGCGCAGTGGTAAGATACTCGCCTGGCGTTTCGCAAGCGCCTTGCCTTGGGTTCGAATCCTGGCCGGGGAGGATTGACCGGGCGCCAATCCTTAACTGTAGCCTCTGTTCACCCAGCAGTGAATGGGTACCTGGTTGTTAAACGATTCGGCGGGGTCGTATTCCGGGGAAATTAGGGTTAAGGACCTGCCCGAAACGCTACGCGTACTAGTGGCTTTACAAGAATGTAAAACTCTTGTATCAACCTACCCTGGCTTTGTGCCCTAGTAAGGCCACTCCAGAGCACACCACAGTCTCCCGAGACTGAGGGATGCCTACTACTATACGAGTCACGATCACTTTACAATTTAGAGTTATTATTCCTAGCTTTTACAATTTGACCTTTTTCTCGGTAAGCACACACGCTGCTGCGACCACCAGCACGCCGTGTGTGTGTGCCACTGGTAAGACAACTAGTCTGCTCTAGTCACAAACATCAGTAGGTCGCCTATGTGAATTACCTGGATGTCAGGTCTACTCGAGCTCTGAAACAAGACACACCAACCTGTAAGCTATACATTTACCTCTAATATTGACCTCTTGAGCAATCTTCCATCCACAAATAAAGATTTTTCAGCAATTTTGACCCCACCACCCACCCGGGTAAATGGGGGTGGGGGGGGGGGGAGGGAGGGAATTAAATTAAATAATGGCAACTCACCTCATTGTTGCCACCTCGATCCGCTTTTCTGCCATTCTCGCCGGAAAACAATGTTACCAGCAACAAGACCTCAGAACGCCTCAGTCTTCAACCCCGTCACTGCGCCACCACTTCGACATCAGCTCTGTACGATAAATTATTATTACAAAATGGCTATTATGACCATGTTAATTTTATATTCAGACTTCATCCTCGCCAACCCCCCCCCCCCACACACACACACGCGCGCACTTTTACAACTAGAAACAAATCTAGCATTTCTTCCCCGTCCATCAACCCCCCCCCCCCCACTAAGCGTGTAACGTACGATTACGTTACGTTGTTGAATAGATTAGATACAGTGTTTAGTGGGTTTTCATATGTTTTCAGTAGTCTTTGATGCAGCAGTGTCGTGGACGTTGAGACAGAGCTTGGAGCAGAGCAGAGAGCCGAGTGCATGAGGCCCGAGTCACGGAGCTCTGTGTGGGAGAGCGTTGTAGCTGGATGCAGTCCTAGCCTGTTGTCTGTTCTGTGTCGAAGCTGTAGCGTCTTTGAGACTATTAGAACGGCATACACCGCGTGCTACATCCTGGACTGGAAATTGTACCGTCGTCTATTCTCACTTGTATTCGGTGACTACCTCACCTTCCTCCACTAGGAAAGGAGGATTGAAGAACCGTTACCTGTAATTAGGCAAGAGACTAGGTTGACCAGACCACACTAGAAGGTGAAGGGACGACGACGTTTCGGTCCGTCCTGGACGTTTCTCAAGTCTGACTTTAGAATAGTCCAGGACGGACCGAAACGTCGTCCCTTCACCTTCTAGTGTGTTGTCTGGTCAACTTTAGCCACGTTGTGACTCATCGCCTGCAAGAGACTATAGCTTCTGCAATTAGTGCTAATTAGTTACGCCATTAAGACTAGATAATGGAGCGAGTACAAGGTTTACTCGCTACAAGCTCAACCCTACTTTATTACCACCACCCCTCCCCCTTGTCACCATGAACAATCACACCACTACTTCGCCCCTCCCCCTTCCCCAACCACAACGAATACCAGAACCCCTCCCCCCCTCAAAATCCAATAAACAGCAACACCATCTCCTTCCCCAATCATCAACCGCAACACTTCCCAAACCACTAACTTCAAATATACCACTTCCTCGTGCGTAACGAATTAGAAAAATACCTCCCTAACCTCACGATTTCACAACTACCCCCGCAACCGCCACGAATCTCAAGTGATAACACAGGAGGGGGGGACCACGATTAACTCCCCCCCCCCAAACGTACACGAGCCCTCCACCCCCTCACCACATCAACGAATCACTCAAGAAGTGTAGGGAGAGGGGGGGGGGGTATACCCGAAAGAAACTTTGGAAAGTAAAACATTTTTAATTACCAGTTTTGCTACTTATGTAATGTTCCTCATTGCTGAATTATGATTAACATTTCAATCAGCATTTTGCCGCTTTAAGTAAAATTTGACAGTTACTTCGCGTTGACGCCGGGGATTAATGTCCCCGTGGGCCCCGGTCTCTAACCAGGCCTTCAGGTTGATGCTCTGGCTTACCGTTACACTGGTTTAAAAAAAAAAAATACAAATATTCAACATTACTCACATGCCTGAGAACACTGCCATGCAGGTGGTGGGGGAACATGGCTCCAACTCCTACAGGAAGATCACGGGAACGTCCATGGTCCGTGTTCAGCCGTCACGCCGAGAGAAGGAACGTCCATGGTCCGTGTTCAGCCGTCACGCCGAGAGAAGGAACGTCCATGGTCCGTATTCAGCCGTCACACCGAGAATGAGAGAAGAACGAGAAAAAATTATAAGTTGTATTCCGTGTTTATCGTCCTCAGAACTGCCACTATGAAAGTGTTGGGAAGCAGAGTAACTGGCACAAGTTTCTTACTTAGCATTTGAATTATGTTAGAGGAAATTACATTAATCTTTAGGAATTGTGCAAGTGCACAAGCCAGATTTACATACATTATTTTTCGAACACATTAGCAGCATTTACACCCGCTACATCTGCTGTAGATGGCTACGACGTTAATACCACAATTAAAAAAAAAAAAAAAAAAAAAAAAAAAAAAATTTCCCCTATACACTTTTTGAGCATCGTACACGCTATTATCTCACAGCCGATACTACACATTTAAGCTACTAAAAACCTTGAGACTATCTGTACAAGTGCATCAAAACTTGAACGTTCAGTACTTTATATGAACCACGATCAATTAAATTCACGTAGAGCGCCTCTAACTTACTTTTATCATGTACGATTTTAAGTGTCTCAAGTTCCCGTTTCTCAGTCAGCACAGGTTATCTGGACCAGCCTTCCGGCAAGTGTGGCACTGGAACCGACTGCAGGGTCGTCTGGCCAGTCACAAGCGTTATCACTAGTCACCTGTAAATAAGTAGTTATCAAAAGAAGGACCCGCGGGGGCCTACATATACAACCTGTGTGAATAACCAACATGTTCATTAAAATAAAGCTCTGGAACAAGCAAGACTTTCTCGCGAGTAAGACATCAATGTCAAGCTAGTTACATTTACCTCAATGCCATCGAGCTTCTACAGACAGTCTATTGGCCATGCCCCCGCCCCCTCAAGAAAATGTAAAAACTCCAAATAATGGTAAACTTCTCTGGTAAACGCGACCTTCAGCCAGACTGAGAAAAACCAATATTGCCACACAACGAGACCTCACTGCAGTCCACAAAGCCATCATAGCGCAACAACTTCCCGGATATCAAATTTGTATGATCACAGCAATTATTTTTACCTGAATTTATATCCAATATTACTAGTCACTTCACGGTCCGACTTTCCCCCTCCTCTGATACCACTGTCCTCCCTCCACAACATCTCTACCCCACCGTATATTTCTCATGGCCCTTCCCCCCCACCGCCAACCGAAACACTATAAATATCTCCCGCCTCCCACAAATATCTTTCGCCCTCCACGAAACCGATCCATTAACCCCCCCCCCCCCCCCAAATCACTAACTTTTCCACAACAAAATTCCCCCTCCCCCCCCATCCACACAACCAAGATTCTGGTTCGCAACTCCCCCACCTCTCCAAGACTACCAAACAACCACGTATTTCCCACCAGGGATCTTACAAGAGGACGGATGGATGCATGGAAGGAAGGGAGGGAAGGTGAGAGAGGGGAGCAGAGCCAGCACAGCTGCCGCAGAAGAGGTCATGGCGCTCACCACGTGAAATCTGCCACTTTCTGCACAACTTTATATATTGCCCAATTACAGCTTTAGTATTATAGCAGCTTTTTTGGGCCACCATCTAATTTTTCGTGAAAACGTGCAATGATAAATTTAAATGTTTAGCTTGCCTGATGTGCTCGAGAACACGTCCATGCAGTTTGTAGACAATGGCTCCAGCTCTTACGTGAAGGTCCATGGTCCGTGTTCTGCCGTCACGCTCGAGAACAAAAAAGAACATTAATAAAAAATGCACATGAATATAGCCAGGGAAAACTAATAACGGCACTTTTTAGCAAATAGACGGGAAGCAGATCGATTTGTGTACAAGATGTCTACCATTTCAAGCTTTAAGTTCCTTTTCTGACCCAGGCTAACCTCGACCCCACCCGCGACGTATATTATCACCTACAATGAGAATAGTATGTTCATGCAAACAAGTCTACGTCAATAGGCACACTATGATCAACATTAACAGTGTATGCTTGTTTGAATCTATTTAAAATTTCAGTCCATCCTCCTATTTTGGTAGTACTTTTAGTACCGATGACGACTATAGTACGTATATATACACTGACCTACAACCAAATTTTAAATCTGAACTATTGAATTTGACAAAACATTTTTATACTCTGACAAACTAAATATTTCTGCGTATGTGTACTGTACTAGGCCTACGAATATTTAAGTTTGCTTTTCAGCTTCATTAATTTTAAAGGGCTTCCTTACTTGTCAGTATACTAGTATTTAAAACTAAAGAATCTAAGAATGTGAATATTGAGGACCGTCACAACAGATATCTGAACAGGAGGATGGTGCACAACCCATGTTCAATTCTCACCAAATTATTGTTCCTCCACGGAGGGAAGGAGAGAATTTTCAGTGAAAAGCGCCAAGCCATTACGACTGTAGAGCAGGCAGGTGAAGAGGAAGTCCCTGCCAAGAGTCGTGCGACATCAAGAACCCAGGAGTGACGTCGCGCACAACCAGCCCTGTAATAGACAAAAGGCTACAGAGAAGCAGATCTAAATATGCCAGAATTTTTTAAACGATAAAATTAAAAGCTAGCAATCAAACTACACTTTCCTTTAAAAAAGGAGGAAGTTAAGCGAACATGCAAAGCCCTATAAACTACCACCACCATCCCACCCCTCTCTACCAACTAAGTTTTAGTCAAAATGCCTAACGAAATTTAAAGAGTTTGTTTAAATTTTAAACACACACTTCCCTCAATGAATACCAATAGAAAGCATTTATACCTTTAACATGACACGTTTGTGATAAAACCTAATTGAGCAAATTGCGTTAGCCAAGTTCCCAATTTTAACATTAAACGATAGAAACCATGTATTAGACATTACCCGACTTGCGGCTAGAAGAGTCTATGCTAAAATATTTTATGCAGGATGAAGTAGACTAATGCACAAACTCCACCCCTGAAGAAACTGCCATCAAAACATGTACCAAAAACCCTATAACTGAACAGCCAAGTTTCTAGCATAATTAAGTTTCTAGCACAGAACCCGCTTCCCTCCTAAGCACTCATTACTACCATATTCAGAACCAAAGCAACGTTTATGTAAATCATTTCAAAACACTTTCTGGACATGCTACTGAAAATCTTTACTGTTCATCACTACAATTTCCCTAGAATTTTAGCAATTTTAATAGAATACGTGGGTCACTTTTTTACAGTCACGTGGATTTTTCTGTCCATTACATATTTGTGACAAAATCTACGTTTCTGTTACTCTAGAAGCACATGGGTTGCCGCCGCCACGTGTGACACTGGTACACAAGAGCGGACTGGTCGTCGTCTGGCCAGTAACAAACATTAACAAGTCACTAGTGAATAGCCAAGATATTAACTGAAATAGAGCTCTGGAACAATCATGACCGTCAACGACATCTACCTCATGCTAGTTATATTAACCTCAAAGCTATTTCGCCTATCTACATCTTATCTGCTACCTCGTCTCCCCCTCGCGATGTGGCACATTCACAAGATCGTCAAATATTGACCTTACTCTAGATGAACTCAACCGTCAGCCAATATCAAGAAACTGGTTTGCCAAACACTAGACTTTACTGCACTCTGAATTTCCAAACCTGCCATAACCGCTTTCCGGATATTAGATTGTACAATCATGGCAATTATTTGCAATAAAAGATAAATCAACATTACTTGCCATTTTACCATCAGACCTTTTCCTCAAAAGCCGCCACCTTACCTCGCCCCCTTTCACTCCAACACCACTTTTCCGGCAAGAAACGTTGCACAATCTAGCCACCCATAATAAATCTAAACACCTCTTTCCTCCGCCCGAAGACGCACCTCCATCTTTTAATGATGGAGGTCAGAAGGGGAGAAGGGGGCGTCACTCCCACGACAATCATTTCCCCCCCCCCCACCCACAAAGAGTTCCAACACTGCCTGTATAGAAATTCCAGCAGTTTCCTTTCTTCCAAACAAAGACACCACCTGTTCCTAACAACCCGTCATCACCACAACTACCCACCACACGAACCTGCACGCTCATGATCCCAAACTATGATTCTAAACTTCCCGACAACCACTTTAAACTACCCCCCCCCCCGTCCTCTTCGAGTACCTACATCAAGAATCTTAATTGAGGACAAGAGGAAGGCCCTATACTACCCAAACATACCCGCAGCTGGGGCACTAGAGACGAGGGTGCTCACCACATCAAGGTACCAGCCTCTGATAAGGTATCCTAGATTTGTATAAAATTAAATACATTTTACAGCTTTATATTGAAGAATCAATTATGGTTTGTTCAAGTATAAAAATATAAGCAACACTAGTTGGGTTCTATAACTTTCCGTAATATACAGCAATGACCGCTTTTTCTAAATTCTAAAACCGAATACTTTCAAATTTTCCATAAATTACTTTTCTACCTTATTCATACATACATTTAATTTCAAATTTCATTCACAGCCAACATTACTGGAATTTAAGCTACATAAAACCTTTAAGCCGTACAACAAGTACGCTAAAACTTGTTTAAAGAATCATAGTACATTGGCCACGATCACTTCGTTTTTCGTGGATCCTTCTGCATTTCTTTATTAACGATTATTACTCTTTCTCCCCCCCCCCCTTTTTGCGCCACAACCAAGATCTATTCGCAAAACCACCACCTCTTCCCTGCCTTTCGCGTCACCACTTTCTCTCCACCCTCCCATTTTTTATTCTTCCAGGAATATATAGTCAGATCGCATGAGGGAGGAGAGAGATCAGGAGCCGTCCTCCCTCCCCCCAACTTACCAGCAGCTGACCCACTCACGAAACGCCACGAGGGGGGGAAGGGGGTTACAAAAACAACAAATCCGTGAAACTAGTGTTGTAATATACATGGGACTATAGAGATGTAGATCTAAATACACGCCTTATTCTGTAGAGAAAATATTCGATAATCAAACCACATTATGGGCTAGAGGAAGGTTAAACTATTAACAACCACTTGGGCTGGACGGTAGAGGGACTTGTGCATGTCTGCGTTTAATCCTACCTTCTAAACTGTTGGGCCACCATTCCTTCCCATTCCAAACCCCGATACGTTTGAAGTGTCAATTACTTTCTACTCATTGGGCAGAACCCGCCGCCCCCCCCCCCCTCCAACCAAGAAATAAATAAACTAGCACGAGCCGTGTTAAGCAGTACCCCTAACCCTGTTTAGGAAAAACTTCATGAATGCTAGTGGAAGAGGGCATCTACAGCTTCAACAAACTAAAAGTAATTGAGCAAGTTTTAGAAA